CCCACTTTTGGCATGTTACCGTGCAGGTAGGCTGGAGCACTATGCACTGAGCTATCTCTGGGTGCGGATTTCTCGGCCTGGGAAGGTTTCAGCACCACCTCCATGAGGAGCTGTTGGATTCTGTACTCCAGGTCCTTCCTGGTACTGGGCTTGAAACTCCTACAAATTTTGCACTTCTTGTGGTGGTGTTCTTCACCTAAATAGCGAAGGTATGCATCGTGCGGGTAGCTGTTAGGCATTGAGCACTTACATACAGCGCACGACTTAAAGCCTGAGGCATTAGGCATGCCCCGGTGCTCCAGAGGAGCTATTGTCCTTGGGGATTCACCCGCTTTTCAGTTACAGACGATAACCTTCTATTCAGAAGACAACAATGAGAGCTATCCCTAGGGATTAGGAGCTTGCCAAGGCAAGACAACTAGAAAGTTCCAATGCTATCACAGATGGTAAGAATGAACTGAGGAAGGGAGGGAGGGGTCGGCAGCGGTATATATGCACTAATCTAGTGGTGCTATTCTAGAGGGCTCCACAGCTGACCCTACAGGAGCTGTTAGGGGGGAAAAAATGTCGGATGCTTGTGCACCTGATTGGAATCAACGTGAACAAGCACTCGAACTAAAAGATTGGTGTTAGCTTAATGGTGGAATTCTGTGTTACAGTTGCTGAGCAGCTTCAGTGAAAAATTAAGTGACATTTTGCCTTTCAGAATCAAATTTAGATTTGATCCAAAAGTACCTATTAACAGCAGTAGACATATTCTGACTTTCAGGATCACCTGTGACATACACTTAGAAATGTTATTAATAATCATTGGTCCATGAGATTCAGAGGACTAGTTTCTGAGGTTGTGGTGTGTGCAGGGCCGGACTAAGGGGTGGGCGAACTGGGCAGCTGCCCAGGGTGCCAACTGATGGGGGGTGCCTGATGACAGCTGTAAGGAGCGCGCGGTGTCCCTTATAGCTGCCATCAGGTGCCGTGTGCCCGGCTCCCGCAGTGCTGCCCCGCTCCTCCCCATCTCCGCAGCGCCGGCCAGCAGCGCCCTTCCCCCCATGGCTGCAGGGCCCTGCACGGCCAGGTGTTGTGTGCCAGCAGCAGTGCCCAGGCTGGACTGGGTAGCGCATGCACCATGTGCACCGGGGGCAGGCCCGTGCTCCTTCAGGTGGGTGGGCCTTTGCCTCAGGGGCGGGCCTGCACATGTGCCGTGTGCCCAGAGATGGCGCTATGCGCCCGGGCCCGGGGTGCCAAAATGACTCAGGCCGGCCCTGGGTGTGTGAGTTATAGATCAGAAGGCAATATGCTTCTAAATGTGCTCAGTAGGATATTAAGAATTTCTACTATGATGGGATACTAATTCAGGAAGGTAGCACAGTGTGCAATAGGGATGTTAGCGTCTAATTGAACAGTCATGTAACCAAATCAAATTTTAGCAGTTACGTGAATATTTGACAGTCCCTGGAAGTGGGGCTAAGCGCCAGCGTGCTCCTGGCCTTACTCATGGGGAGCCCCCACTCTATCAGAGGCAGCAGTGTGGGGTGGAAGGCAGGAGCTGATCCATGAGGAGAGTTAGTTTAAAAACCAGCTCCCTGAACAGACTGGCTCCACTTGCTGCCCCTCGCTGCTGTCTCTGATACAGAGGCAATAGCATGGGGCAGGAGCAGCCCATATTCATGGTGGGGGTTTGTGTGTCCAAGCTCTGGATCCTCCTGCTCCCTCCATCCCCAAGCTGCTGCCTCTGATAGAGAGGCAGCAGCATTGAGGGTGAGGGGGGCAGGTGGAAGCCAATATATGCGAGGAGTTGGCTATTAAGGTGGCTCTCTGTGCATGCCAGCTCCATGGACTTGCCTGCCCCCCTCCCCCTTCTGCCTCTTGGGGAGGCAGGCAGGAGACAGTGCTGCGGGGAGCTGGCTTTTAAGGTAGATCAGCAGAGCCAGCACGCTTGGAGAGCTGGCTTAAAAGCCGACTCTCCTCACCGTCCGTGCTGCTGCCTCTGTATCATGTACACTGGCTCCTGCCTCCCCCATCTTGCTGCCTCTAATACAGAGGCAGCAAACGGAGTGGAGGGGGGAGGAGGTTGTCTGTAGATGACAGGATTAACTGCTAATCTGAGCCTTATTGGTTAATCATGTAGTGGTCTGCACGTTGACATCCCTAGGGTGTAATGATGGCAAAACTAATTTTTGTTCCTAATATAAGCTTTTTTTCCTCTCCACAACCATAACATGTTCTTTATTACCTCTGCATATTAAATGTTGTGCTGATTTGTGCCCATTCAAATGAAATGTCTTTTAAGCATCCTCAACATCAGTGGATTACCTAGATACAGAGATGGATTGACCAGATATTTAAATGCCAGCTGACAATCCCGACTCTGGAGCATTAATAGAGAATATAGGAGTCTCTCTGATAGTGTTCCCTCTAAGCTCCGTGCAAGGAGCTGACTGATTGGAGGAGCTGATTAATCACCCTTGGAGCTGTGCTGCTACTCAGGCCGGCCCTGGGTGTGTGAGTTATAGATCAGAAGGCAATATGCTTCTAAATGTGCTCAGTAGGATATTAAGAATTTCTACTATGATGGGATACTAATTCAGGAAGGTAGCACAGTGTGCAATAGGGATGTTAGCGTCTAATTGAACAGTCATGTAACCAAATCAAATTTTAGCAGTTACGTGAATATTTGACAGTCCCTGGAAGTGGGGCTAAGCGCCAGCGTGCTCCTGGCCTTACTCATGGGGAGCCCCCACTCTATCAGAGGCAGCAGTGTGGGGTGGAAGGCAGGAGCTGATCCATGAGGAGAGTTAGTTTAAAAACCAGCTCCCTGAACAGACTGGCTCCACTTGCTGCCCCTCGCTGCTGTCTCTGATACAGAGGCAATAGCATGGGGCAGGAGCAGCCCATATTCATGGTGGGGGTTTGTGTGTCCAAGCTCTGGATCCTCCTGCTCCCTCCATCCCCAAGCTGCTGCCTCTGATAGAGAGGCAGCAGCATTGAGGGTGAGGGGGGCAGGTGGAAGCCAATATATGCGAGGAGTTGGCTATTAAGGTGGCTCTCTGTGCATGCCAGCTCCATGGACTTGCCTGCCCCCCTCCCCCTTCTGCCTCTTGGGGAGGCAGGCAGGAGACAGTGCTGCGGGGAGCTGGCTTTTAAGGTAGATCAGCAGAGCCAGCACGCTTGGAGAGCTGGCTTAAAAGCCGACTCTCCTCACCGTCCGTGCTGCTGCCTCTGTATCATGTACACTGGCTCCTGCCTCCCCCATCTTGCTGCCTCTAATACAGAGACAGCAAACGGAGTGGAGGGGGGAGGAGGTTGTCTGTAGATGACAGGATTAACTGCTAATCTGAGCCTTATTGGTTAATCATGTAGTGGTCTGCACGTTGACATCCCTAGGGTGTAATGATGGCAAAACTAATTTTTGTTCCTAATATAAGCTTTTTTTCCTCTCCACAACCATAACATGTTCTTTATTACCTCTGCATATTAAATGTTGTGCTGATTTGTGCCCATTCAAATGAAATGTCTTTTAAGCATCCTCAACATCAGTGGATTACCTAGATACAGAGATGGATTGACCAGATATTTAAATGCCAGCTGACAATCCCGACTCTGGAGCATTAATAGAGAATATAGGAGTCTCTCTGATAGTGTTCCCTCTAAGCTCCGTGCAAGGAGCTGACTGATTGGAGGAGCTGATTAATCACCCTTGGAGCTGTGCTGCTGCTCTCTGACTTTAGGTGTTACACTACCACCACTCACATGCAAAACCCCCTTGAAAACCAGGAAGGTGCACTTGGGAATATACTTACTGTTTTGGAAACTTAGGCTGTGTCTAGATTACATTCCTTTTCTCGAAAAAGGGATGTAAATTAGACACCTGAAATTGCAAATGAAGCCGGAATTTAAATTTCCTGCACTTCGTTTGCATAATCATGGCCGTGGTTGTTTTTTTTTTGGAACGGGGCTTTTCGATAGAAAAATGGCAGTTTTGATGGGGATCTTTCGAAAATAAAAACCTTTTTTGAAAGATCCTGTACTCCTCAAAAAATGAGCTTTACAGGATCTTTCAAAAAAGGTTTTATTTTCGAAAGATCCCCATCTAAACTGCCATTTTTCTATTGGAAAACCCCATTTCGAAAAAAACCCGCGGCTGCCATTATGCAAATGAAGCACAGGAAATTTAAATCCCGGCTTTATTTGCAATTTTGAAGAGTCTAATTTACATCCCTTTTTCAAGAAAAGGGATGTAGTCTAGACACAGCGTAAGATGGTGTGGTGGGTTAAAGTATGTGGCTTTATTTGCACTTGGCAGAAGCAAGTTGCTTTTTTGTTTTGCAAGGAACAATGGCAATTTGTCACAAACTTCTAGCACATGCTCAAAACTAAATACATAAAAATGTCAGCAAATCCAACCTGTCTAGTAATTTGGTACTGCTATGACTTTGGAATATCAGCATATCTGAGGTGAGAATATACTTGCACATTTTAGATAGGATCCAGATTCATAACTATGTGAAATATTTCTTAGGCTTTGACAATTTCAAAGTATAAATACACTGTTTATTAACATAACAGATTTAGGTATGTTTAACAAAAATGTCCTATGTCTTGATGTTAAACCCCTGTTTACAGTCTGAGCAGCTTGAGTCCTAGGCAGAGACTTTTCTTGAATAGGGTTATGTCCATGATGGAGTTGCTCTTTGTAAGGAGGTGAATGGATAATTTTCATTGGGAAAACTGATTGGATACTATCATGGCACCATTCATCTCTGAGTACCTATGAGATTGACCTGAGAGTAGTTATAGAAGGGCTATATGTTCCAACCCCATTTCATCTCATCAGCTAAATTATTTCACATTCGTAAAGAGCTGATTATGGTCAGTGTTTCACATCCTGTAATATTGTCGTGCTGAATCTTGTTTATGTTGTGAGGCATAATGCATATTGCTACACGTTTTTTCAGTTAATGATCATGTGACTATTGACAGCTTTATCTTTCTGTTTATAGGAAGAAGTCAGGAATCTTCGCATGCCATGAGACTGAAAACATTTGTATTCAAGGGCAATGTCAGAGGACTTCTATCAAATCAAAATCTTGTCCATGCATTGAGAGGTGAGTATGTCTGTGGCTTCAATGTGATAATGAAATGTTAAAGCGTAGTTCTACAAATAATCATGTTTAAAAATAGGCCGGTGGAGTTCCATGTTTGTATCTTGGTGACTTCCATATCATTTCTTAGTATAAAAGTGAATAGTTTGGTGTCAAGGCTGCTTCCCCACCCTGGCACTTGGAGTGCAGAAGGTGGAGGCCCTCAAGAGACCTTAAAATACCCTGCCACTAAAGGCTTCTGTTTAAAAAATTTCCCTAAGGGCACAGATTCTCTGACCTGGGGTAGTACACTACCACCACCCAAATGCAAAAAACTCTTCATAGCCAGGAATATGCACTTGGGAATTTCTTCCTGTTTAACCTCTTTAACCTTCCTGAGAGGAGAGCTTGAAAACAAACTTTAATTTCTTAGCTTTAGCTGAAGAAGCGGGTTGTGTCTACGAAAGCTCATGATACCATCTATGTTTTGTTAGTCTTTGAGGTGCTGCTAGACCAGGGCTACTCAACTTTGAAAGCCCTGGGGGCCACAATGATACTTACAGCACATGTAGAGAGCTGCAACTTAAGTGTGGTTGCATATACATGCAAATATATGCAAATACCTTCTTGCACACTGACTGGCATGAATACAAAGATTAAGGCAAGACTACACAACACACAGGCCCTATTTAAGTCAGTTCTGCTGATATTAATAAAGCAATTTTTACCTGATTCCCACCTATATGACAGCAGTTTTAATGAGCTGTGACAGACGAGGAATATAACTACAGTAATTCCTCATTTAACACGTGCCCGCTTAACACGTTTTCGCGATAGCATGATTTTTTTTTAGGGAATGTTTTTTTGAATTACACGACTGTCCCTGGAATAACATGATTTCCCCAGCCGGCCCATTGCCAGCAGCTGCGCGGGGCTTCCCCCGCCTCCCTGCAAAGTGGCACCGCCCGCCACGCTGTTCCCTAGCGGCCCCGCCTCATCGGACATGGTGCGGGTCCCGGCAGACTTGTAACAGGGGCATACTCCCAACCCAATGTCCCTCCCCTCTGCTCCCCCTCCCTTCCCCAGAGCCAAACACCTCCATTCCCTGCTGTAACCCAGGCCCCTTTCTTCCCCAACCTTATGTCCCGGTCCCAACAGACACCACCGCTTGAAACGCAACCCCCACCTTTTCCATTATTGTCCATAGGAAAATTGACCCCACATAACATGTTTTCACTTAACACGATCATTTTCTGAAACATATGTATAGTATTAAGTGAGGAATTACTGTACTAAAATGCATATCAACAGACGACCATTACAATGACTACTTTTTTGTTTTGGCTCCCACACATGGGCCGGGTATTGAGCCTCACATAAATCCACACCTCACTGTGGTGGCCCATGGGCTGCGTGTTGAGTAGCCCTGTGCTAGACTATTCATTATTTTTTAAGTTTTTAAATTTCTTAATAGCTGACCTTCAATTTCAGGCACGAGCACACAGAACCTCCCCCCTTCTTGGACACAGGAATCAGATCATAATCTTAAAAAAGTGATTTTTATTAACAAAACAAAGAGAGCATACTTGGTAAAGTATATTTGGCTGCTGGGTGTTACAGAACAACTAAAAATGTTGTTTTTTAACATATTTTCCGAAGGGTGTGTCTAGACTACAAGGTTTTTTCGAAAAAAGTAGCCTTTTTTTCGAAAAAACTTCACCACCTGCATCTAGACTGCAGCTGTGTTCTTTCGAAAGTAAATCAAAAGAATGTGGCACTTTTTTTTAATTGCAATAAACCTCATTCTACAAGGAATAACACCTTTTTTCGAAAGTACTCTTTTGAAAAAAGGCGCTATTGAATGCAAACTGTGCTTTTTCAAAAGAGAGCGTCTAGACTCTCTTTAGAAAAAGCGGCTCGCTTTTTCGAAAAAATCTGCTTGTAGTCTAGATATAGCCTTAGTATTTAGTGGCATTTATCAACCTGCATTTGAAGATCACAAACTTCTGGTGTAAACAGTAGTTTACCATTTGTTGCTTCTGCACAAGAGCCACAGCTGACTTACTCTGACCCACAATTGATTTGCTCAGTAACTTATAATGGATATAGACATCAGGAAAGACTCAAAAGATTGCTGATTCCCACAGTAGCTCCTTAGTTCAGCTTTAACACCAGAGAATTGCAACACTGAGAAGAATGAGGATGCAATTAGGTTTATGTCAAATTTTTGAACCATGGGCAAATGTTAATCTAGTGGCCTGGGGCTTGCAACCCAGAAAAGAAGGATTTGTGCCTCAGGCTGTAGTTTTCACATTCCGGCAGGTGACAACAGAGCAGCAGCAGGCGTGCAATTTCAGAGAGGACACTTGCACTTCACTGAACAACTTAACAGCCACAGCAGAAGACAGATTTGTGTTTTCCAAAGTGTCATGGATGCCTATCTAGTTCTATTGATGTTAATGGTAGTATTTCCATTGACATGAATTGGAGTTAGATTAGGCCTTTAACGAGTATACATGGAGCTGAAGAAAAATATATCATCCCATCAAAGTTTGGCTTGGACTAGGCACTGTTGGTGAAGCATCTTGTCACCTGACACCACATTTGAAAGGTGATAATAAACACACAAGATTCTGGGATATATTTGAGAAATATTAGTGATGAGTGACTGAATGTGAAAAAGACTATGAACCTGGGGGACAAGGAAGAAGAGGGATAAACAGTACAATTTCACATAATTTGAATGAATTCTCTGCTACTTTTCAAAACCAGATTGGTTTAATGCCCTCCTAAAAAAAGAAACACGAATGCATGAGGGACTAAGCTTCCAGTTAACATCTTGCACCACTTAAATAGTCTGTTGTGAAGTGCAGTAAGCAAAGGCCTTAGATCAGAGCAACAAATCAAAATTGATATGGCTGCAGGTTAACTCTCTAGGTGAATACATGGTGTTTTACAAAGACAGATTTGACATCTGGATTTATGAAGTGGGTACTTCTCTCTTGTGTTCACTTTCCTGTGCTTAGAGGTTAAAGGTTTTAGCCACTTGTCAACTCTATAAAAGTTTGCACGTAAGTCCAGTAATATTTCCCTTTCTGCTTGTTTTCAGTATGCCATCAGAGATACTGCTGAAGATATTTTCTTATTTGGATGCTCTGTCCCTATTGTGTATTGGTTGTGTGAATAAACACTTCTATCATCTGTCCAATGACAAGTAAGGAAGGGGGGAAATGTACAATAATCTCAATCTCACAGCAGTCAGATTAACTTGAATTATATGAGACTTTTAAATTTAGTTTCATTGGTGCCAGGGAATTGATGTAAGTATTGAGCAGCTATTTTTGTGTTGTATTGCAATCTGTATGCTACATTTTCAATATATTGCATGGAGTTTTAGCTGTGTGAGTTCTCTTAAAGTTAATGGGATTTATGTGACTAAAATCAAACACACTGCTTTGACAACTTACCCATTTGCATTTATTGCTTTATAAGATGTATAGTTTTCTTTCTGATTTAGATAAACCAGCATAGGCTGCTAGGATCCCTCCTCACAGGCAGGTGTGGGCGAGGATTTTCACATATTCTTTTCAGGTTTCTGCTTTTGCAGCTCAGTTTTTTTTCCCTCCTGCTTTGTTGCAGGGGACTTTTGTAGTCAGGCAGTTCTGGCAGTGGTTTCAGATGCCTCTATTTTGTCACCATACAATGAATTTAGTTTTGATTAAAACAGGAGGAAAAACAAATAGTAAAAAGGCTCATCACATGGCTATCAGTTCAAAGGTTTATATTCCATGGTTAGCAATGGTACATGTGTCAGAGTATAAATGTAAGATTCATAGTGATCGCCCACTGACGTCATTGGGAGCTTTGCAGATTAATCTAGTGGAGAGGCTGACCTGTATGTAGCAATTAAAATGTTCATCATTTTGAGTGCCTTGTTGGCATCACATAGGGAGAAAATCTGCTTCCCTGTGTAGACTCTCCCCTATTTTTCCAGTTTCTCCCAGTCCATTTCCGACTTCATGTGCTAAAGCGATATACACTGAAATGTTTAGTGTTGACACTGAAATGTCATCACTGGGCATTGGCACTGACACTCCAGTAAGATTAAGGAGTCAGAAAATCCAAATTTTTAGGTTATTTGTCTGAAGTGTTGGCAGATACAGGCTGTTACTAGCAAAGGCACGCTAGTAAACTAAATTTAGTGGGGCCAATCTGAATAGATGGAAAATGCCTTTGTCCCAGAAGGTGGTCCGACCTGGAAACCACCGTAACTGTCACCGATGGATTTCTCTAGTCTGAAATAAGCACAGACACAAATGTCCAATTTAAAGATATATTGAATACAACAGGTGGTAACACAAAGAATAACCCCAGAATACAACACTGCATAAATCAACCCCTCACTCCAGAAGTAATAGAAGATAGCACAGTATAACTAGACAGGAGAGCACTATACTCAAGTGGCTACGTCTAGACTGGCATGATTTTCCGGAAATGCTTTTAACGGAAAAGTTTTCCGTTAAAAGCATTTTCAGAAAAGCACGTCTAGATTGGCAGGACGCTTTTCCGCAAAAGCACTTTTGCGGAAAAGCATCCGTGGCCAATCTACACGCGCTTTTCCGCAAAAAATCCCCGATCGCCATTTTCGCGATCGGGGCTTTTTTTCGGAAAACAAATCTCTGCTGTCTACACTGGCCCTTTTGCGCAAAAGTTTTTCGGAGAAAGACTTTTGCCCGAATGGGAGCAGCATGGTATTTCCGCAAAAACACTGACAATCTTACACGAGGTCGTCAGTGCTTTTGCGGAAATTCAGGCGGCCAGTGTAGACAGCTGGCAAGTTTTTCCAGAAAAGCAACTGCTTTTCCGGAAAAAGTGGCCAGTCTAGACACAGCCAGTCTGTTCTGAAGTCAGTAGACAGCCGAGGCTCAGGACCTTCAACCTGTTGGCATAGGCAGCCTCAGGGGAGGAACGATGGTATGATGGTAGGTACGTTACACAGGCACCCAATGGTAATCAGTTCTCAGATTCAAAATAGGGCCTTTGCCACAATGGTTGGAGTGGAACTGGGTGATAGGCAGCTGCTCTTGGTCCGGAGCTACAGGTAGCTATAACCCACAACACTGGGCAATTGCCACAGTAGTGAGCTAATGCACCCGGCAGGTAACGGTGGAATTGAGTCTGGTCTGGTCTGTTGCGAAGGCCAGGACCTGCTTCCCCATGGCTCTTCTTCAACAGCGATCCAAACTGCTAGCTACCAGAAGATGAGAAGGAAGCAGGAGCAGGAGGAGGAGCCCGATCCCTTCAGAGGTCTGAGCTTATAAAGATCCCAAGGCGGGAAACAGCAGGACACAAGGTGTCTAGTGCACAAGGTGTAGTGTTGGGTACAGATTAGCGTTCCTGGTGCAGACTTTAGTGTCATGTGCAGAGCAACAGTGTTGTGTGCACAACCATGTACTGTGTGCAAACGATGGATTTTGGTGGCAAAAGTCTTTTAGTCCTTTGGGTTCCATTTTGATTTGTGTAAAACTCAAGACTCCATTTTGATTTTAGTGTCCTTTTGGTTGTAATGTCCTTGATCTTAATATTCTAACTTACTGTCAACAAGGCAGACATTCACTGCACTAATTACATTTGGGTCACATGATAGATTGGCTTTGCATCCCTAAGGGCTAGTAATATATACTTTGGAAATAACCTCAGATTCACTTCATTTTTAAAGTTGACCATATCACACAGGCCACAAAAATACAAGGGGGCAACCCTGGCTTAGGGAGCTCGTGGCCTGTAATAACTCCTTTGCATTTTCTCAGCTGCTTTCACCATGCTCCATATGTGTTCTGCACAAGTGATTGATTAATGGTATGGACTAGTGTTCTACAATGAGGGAGGGGGCAAAGCTACACTGCCATAGAGTCTGCGGCACAAAATTTACACATACTTCTCCAAAAGTTTCGATCTCCTCTCTGCAAGATTCCATTGAGATCATGGCAAGCATCCATATGCTGCTCGGCCATATGGATTAGCTACACAGGATTATGTGCAGCTCACAGAAATACAGCCAGCCTTTCTCTTTTCTATGCCCTCAACTTAGTACTCCACAAGCCACCACAATTTACCCTGCCTCTTATCCCATGCTTCCTGCTCCCTGGAAAATGGTTGCTCAGACTGGCTATGTCCCTCAGCAGTGGAGAAAAGTTCCTGGCAGTCAGACATACTCGATGGCCCTGGGGGGAGCCCTTGGTCCTTGTCTACCTCAGCCTCCTCATCTACAATTCATACCCCGGGTTAGACCCTCCATGCACTACCTCCGTGCCCTCCAAAGTATTCACGGGGCTCTTGGCAATGGAAGTGGGATCACTGTCAAGGATAGTGTCCAGCTCCTTATAGAAATGGAAGGTCTTTGGTGAAGCACTGGTGCATCAATTTGCTTCATGGGCCTTATGATAGGCTTGTCACAGTCTTCTACATTTTACTCTGCACTGTGGTGTGCTCATACCCCTTTTCACACGAGGATTGTAAAATGTGACTATGAAGTCCTTACTAAGTCTTTGCTCAGATATTCCCATTAAAATCAGTGAGACTTGGTTGAGAATCTATTGTGTAACAGATTTCCCATACATTATGATGTTAGGTAAAACTTACTATATTCAGCAAAAATATCAAGATGTGTATTAGTGCTCTTTGGTTCTCATGTGACATGTCTTTTCCTCCAGCAATCTAAATTTTAGCATAACTGTTCTATTACAGGATTAGGGGTTTAACAATGAATTAAAAGAAATGGTAAATTATGAATAGAGAGAGACATCAGACATTGAGGTAAAACCTCAATATTGGGAATTTCTAGAAATGATTAGTACTCTCTTTATCCACCTAAATCAAATAAAACCCTACTTGTTCTTAAACTTTGGTAATATATTTTTCTTACTGAGATTTTCACTAATGCATGAGATCCTTATGCAACTGTATGTTTTAATTCTGCTGCTGTCGTCACTATTAATAATTCTTTGTGGGATTCACTTTTTTGTGTCTTGAATTTTTTTCCCAGTGTGATCTGGTTCAAAATATACTCCAGTTTTTTTCCACCTAAAAGAACAAATTGGAAAACTAAGCCTGTTGAAAGAACAGCTGTCTTACCAAGTCATGCTACCGTACTGGACAGAGAATCGGGATACTGGAAGAAGGAATATATCATGAAACAAATAGCAGCTGGCAAAACTAAAATCATTCAGTTTCTGAAACCTATAAACCCTTATACTGGCCTTCCACTTAAAATCAAAGAAGCTATCAAGTAAGTAATGTCTTGTCATGAAGTGTGTTTACTCCCAAATTACATTAAGAATGTTGGTTTAGTGAGTCTATATCGGGGTGGGTAGTAATGTGTGCGGGGGGCGGGAGGGGGAGGGAGAGAACACTCCAAGAATTTTGGTAAGTGGTCGCAGGCTTTACTTTTCTGTTATATTAATCAAGAGGGTCTTGGAGGGAATTTTGGTGCAGAAGAAGGTTATGACCTGCGGTATGATTTAGGTGCAGAGAGGAGTGGGGAGGATGACAGGTGCAGGCTCTGGCTGGGAGACACTTACCAACATGGGCAGTTCCCAATCAGTGGAACAAGAGGGCACCCAGGCAGGCCTCCATGCCATGATGCTTCACGTAGCTCAGAATTGACAGCATGTCTTTTCTTGGGGAGAGAAGGATGGTGGGTCTTCATGCACTGCCCACGCCTGCAAGTACTACCTACACCTGCTAGTACTGCCTCTACAGGTCCCATTGATCAATTTCCAAGGGGTGTGTAGAAACATGTTTGCCAGCAGCCTCTGGCTCTAGCGCTTCTGGGAGCAGCATGGCTGGGGTCATGGCAGGCAGGCAGACAGACTTCCTGAGTGCCCTGCTGGGCTATGGAAATTTTCCTCCAGCCCTAGCTTGGAAGAAAATGTTTGGCGAGTGAGATCTGGCCTGATAGTCATATTTTGCCCACCTCTGTTCTATATGGTATTTGTATGTGGGGAAATAGAGATATGAATTCAGATCGTGATGGGGAGATGCTATCATGATCTGATTAGTGTGTTTTAATCACAAAATAAAAGTTAATGAGAATAAAAATGAAATATCTGTTTTGTCAACTCTGTCTTGCTTGAAAGAAAGAAACCACTTTAAGAGAAATTACATTGGTTATTTCCATTGAAAGTAATAAGAAATAAATATGCCCTTCTTCAAGAAATGCCCCGGCACCTTGCTGACTGAATTTCTAAAGTTCCATACATTGTCCTTGTCACTTTTGACAGGTTGTTTTAAAGCTTTTTGTTTATATCCTCAATGGCAGAGCATATAATTTGAGTTGGGTGATTGTACTAAAGGACAGAAATGGAAAGGAACATGTAATGGAGCAGGTGGACATCTCTTTTAATGATACATCTATTACCGTATTTTGGTATGGTACAAACTGGCCATGTTTAGACACCCTGCAAACCCTGGAATTATGTGGAGTGACACCATTGCTTCTTGATCGATGTAAAGTTCCCACCTACAACATGTGAGTTTAAAATATTTTTTTAGACAAATATTGTTGGGATTGCCTGGGTGGAAATTGCCTGACTAAAAACTGACCCAGACAGTGAATTATTTTTAGTCCATCTGCAACCTATCCTAAGAAGTCTATTTCTTATTCTTCACTGGTATCAGACAGTTCCTGGGAGAAAGGAAATCTAACAAAACCAGATATTACTTATTTATTCTCCCATATTTTTATGAATTTAGTAGTTATAATATAGTGAATAGTAATGTAAAATACAGGGGAAAAAAGACACTTGGCTTGGAAAAACTGACAGTCTTAAGCATGGATACCAAAGGATGGTAAACCAGACCCATGGAAAATTTCTAATTAAAAATCCAATGAGAATAATTCTTTATCTCTTGGCCTGCAGCTGCTCCGGAGGAGGTGGGTGGGGCATTGCTTGGCCTCCCCATACTGCAGCCTGTTCATGGGGTGGCGGCTCTCTGTGGGCCTGCCTGCGCCGCCAGCTGCCCCCTTGCCCTGCAGATGGTCTGGGGGGAATAGCACTTCAGGAGCTAGCCCTGGCCTCTAGTGAACCACTCCAATCTAAAGCCTGTTGGGGGGAGCAATCTGGCAGGAGGGGCTGGCCAGGCTCTATGGGCTGCCACCAGCCATCAGGGCCCCTCTGCGGCTTGCAGGCTATCTTGGGGGGGTGGAGGGATAGACTCTTGGAACTGCTGCTGACCATCAGTGGCTGCCCTGTTGCCTGCAGACTGGGAGTGAGGAAGCGAGGCTCTAGGCACTGTATGTGGCTTCCAGTGCCTCCCCTATGGTCTGCAGGCTGTTGGGGAGGGGCCATGCTTCAGGGGCTGCCCCTCCTACAGTACCCCCAGCCCACGTGGCTCTGTGGGCAGGCTCTCCACAGGGCGGCGGGGAGGGGAAGGCTCTGGGTTTAGGGTGGGGGGCTCCGCACCAGGTCTGGTGTCAGGCAAGATGGCAGAGCCCTAGCCCTGCTGGCCACTCTCTTTGTGCTGCAGCTGCCCCAGTGGCCACTCTCAGTATTGCACCCCTCCTCTCTGTGCCCTTCCCTTTTGTGTCCCTCCCCTCTCTGTCCTCTTCCTTTCTATGTTACAGAAAACAGCTGTCTTCCTGGCACTTCCCATTTTCCAGGCACAATCAAACCCTGACCTTGGCTTATGTTATGGGAAGGGGAAGCTGCATACCAAATTTGGTGTTCCTAGCTCCTATGGTTTAAACTTTAGAAAGAGTTCTTGAACAAACAGATTCACAGAAGCAGAGACTGACACACTCTAAAATATAGAAAGAGATAGTACACCCACACTTTGAATAGTGCATGCAGTTCTGGTTGCTCCAACTCAAGAAAAATATATTAGAATTGGAAAAAAGTATGGAAAAGCTACTATCTGTGGAGAGACTAAAAAAAACTTAGAAAAGAGACAACTAAAGGGGCATATAACAGAGGTCTATAAAATCATGAATGATGTGGAGAAAATGAATAAGGAAGTGTTATTTACCTCTTTCTGCTTGTTTTAAAACTTCTTCTTAATTTTCTTTCTTGCAATTTGAAAGTGTTCTGTGCTTTTCTTTTCCTGCAGTTTAAAACTTACTCTTTTTTTCCTTTTTCTCACTTTGCAATAATCCATTTTCTTTGGTAAAGTATTGAAAAAAGCCAAATTTCTATTTTCCTGAATTTTAAATAAAGTTTAGTAAACTTGTTTTCTTTTGAAAATCTTCTAATGTTAACATGTGTGAAAAGACACACAGAAAATGCACCCCATAAAAAGAAAAACTGAAACGCCAAAGTACACCTTCAAAATGAAACCAGAGGGTAGGACATAAAGCAAGTAGGGGCATGGAAACCTGCCATAATTTGATGATGATGAATACTATAAAGGTCTCCACTACTGTGCTGCATATGTCTGATTTGTGTTTTTGTTTTTGTTTTTTAAACCTTGCACTAAGGAGTTTTTGCACTGGGTGTTTCATGGTGCTTCTAGGCTGCAAGGATAGCAAATTTCAGAAGTACAAGCTCTCAGATCTTGGAATTGGTTGGCTAGGTGCCTCTTCATCTCTGCTTAACTACTGTAGTGTGTTAACATGAGAGAGAATCTCTTCAATAACCAGGTCCTAGACCTTTTTAGGACTTTTGATGATGATCAGCACACCTTGAACTGTTCCCAGAAGCAAACTGAGAACCAATACAGAAATTAAAGGGAGGTCTTTTATACTCACAGCAGCTTGAAATGGGAAGTCTTTCCCCCCGCCCCCAGCTTCCTGGAGCTTCAGAGTGGACATCCTAGGACACCCTAAGTGGACCATGGCAGTAGGCAAGCTAGAGGTATGAGGGTTGAAAGGTTCATCTTTTCTCGCCTAATTGCTCTATTGCTAGGTGAAGAAAAGTAATACTGATGCTATCAGGAAATCCAGGAAAATGTTTGGATCTAATAGGATTTTGAAGCTGTTAACTATTTGAGCAGAAGTTATTTCTCCTAAATGGATAATACAGATTCTGTTCCTACTGCCTATTCCTCCTAAATGACTTTCTTGGCACTAGCATCCCCTTTTCTTTATTTGGATGAGTTGCTGCCTGTTTGTTTTCCTTCATATCCTTGTTCTTAGTCACACAACTGGGAGAGTTATTGGGCCTACAGAACATGCATTTAATTAAAGGACATGTAGTCCTATATTCTAAAACTACATTTTGGAAGTTGTAGGTATGAAGAAATGGGCATTAAAAGCATATTGGTGTGATCAGGACATGTTTGTAGCTGCAGTCTCCTGTTGATGACATCCTGCTTTTTTAAAAAACAAGCAAACAAGCAAGAATGGGAAGAGTGACACTGTGGGTCTTTACAAGAGTCTTTGTGGAGAATGGGTAATTCTCTCATGTAAAGGACTGAACATGCTAAAGCAGTGGTGGGCAAATTACTGGCCTGTGGTCCAGAACCGTTTTGCCAGGGCTAGTTCCTGGCAGGTCACTGCTGCTGTATTTACCTGTGCTTCTCTGCAGGTATGGGCTCTTGCCGCTCCTGTTGGCTGTTGATCACTGTTCCTAGCCAGTAGGAGCGATGAGTAGTGGTGTTGTGGTCCACACCACTTTCTGCAGCTCCCATTGGCCGGGAAATGTGAATCATGGCCAACAGGAGCTGCAAGCATTCGTACCTGCAGAGGCGCTGATAAATACAGCAGTGGGAGCCCACCAGGGGCCTAACCCTTGAAATTGCTGCCATTTTATTGCCCACCCCTGCACTCAAGAGCTACTACTTACATTTTTGCAAGAGCTCACCCGTCAGCCAACAAGGCAGCTGTCAGTGATATAAAATATATATTACCATTGTGGTTTTATATAAGTTTTGATCCCTGAATGGTAGGGAACAAAGCAACCTGAGAAATACAGCTGTATTCACTAGTAAATGATCTTTTTGTTCAAATTTCTCTTGTTCTGAGAAAAATTACTGTTTCCTGCTTCAGGCTGATGAGAATTTTATGATTCTCTTTGCTGTGGAAACATTTTCTTTATAGTAACACATTTATTAATAAAAGAACCCTTTGGGCATTTAAGAAATTTAGCGAGCATATCCGTTCCTCTTGTATAACATATCTACTGTACAGTTCAACAAGCCTATGAGGGATTTTGGTAGACACCCTTATCGAAAATTCTATTCCCATTAGGTTTTGCTGTACTTCTGGTAAGCTGCTATTTAGACTTTTTATTGCTCCACATGCTGCAGTTTCCGAACAGTTTGTGTTAGTGCCCAGGGAGAAAATGAAAAGTGTCTGAATTTTTATATTAATAATGACACACTCATGTCTTTCTTTACTCTGCTATGTCTCTTCAAAGACCTCGGCGGCGTTCCTTAATTGCTGAGTTCAGCCTTACTAACCTGACTAACACGACTACAATGATTGGCTCTGATGTGCTTGTGGAACTTTTCCGTCTGAACCCAGGACTCCTGGTGGGTCTCTGGAAGGTAAGATTATATTTGGCTACCGTATGTTGTTCAATAAGTTTTTCTTTTAAAATTTTTTGTAGCGTACAGCTGTATGGGGAAAAGGAAGATGGCTGCATGAAAATGACTAACATAATCTAATAGACATCTACAGTCAAGGCCCCCTGCACTCAGTGGTTAAATGGATTTAAATTTTGCAACGCTTTCATTTATGCTTAAAAATACAGATATCTAATTGCTTCAGTGGGGTGTTCAGATGTGTATTGTAAAATTTATTTCCCACTTCCAATTTTAAGATGTGCCAGGAATTTCTTTAATTGACATAATGTCACAGATCATGGACAAACACCTGTGATTACTCCTCCAGGCTTTCTGTGGGAACTCTTTCCAGGAGACTGGCTCTGATGTGCACTTCTCCCAGAGTGTTACTCTTTGATTCCCCACTTGTTAAACTGGATCACTAGGCTATATCACCACCTATTCTCTCTGTATTGTCTCACGTACAGGGCATATGGTGCTTAGTTCCTCTTACAGAACTTTTTAAAGTATTCCCTTCAGGTGACAGGCTTCACTCATCTCATGCTTCTCTGGAATACTGAGGTTCTGACACTATTAGGTGGATGCTAAGTAGCATCTTTCTCGGCTGGACCCAATGACCATGCCCCTAGCTTTTCATTCATTATCTAAATTTGACTGATTAAGTTTGTTTAGCAGCACATTTTGTTCACCTTTTTAAAGGAGCTAATTATAAAGTTGAAGAATAAGACCAATGAATAGTTGCTGATAGTGAAGAGAATCTTTTTCTCTGGATAGCTCTGAGGTGGTGCTTTATGTATTCTTGTGCTGGGCCAATGTGTATGGTAGCATTCTGTGTGAATAGTGGCACACATACAACTATTACTAAAATTGTACTAATAGAGTATGTCTAGACTGCATCCCTTTGTTGGCAGAGGGATGCATATTAGGCAGGTCAACATTGCAAATGAGGCAGGGATTTAAATATCCCATGCCTAATTTGCATACAAATGGCTGCTGTGTTTTGCCGACTCAGCACTTTGTCGGCAAAAAGCGGCAGTCTAGAGGGGGATCTGTTGAGAAAGAAAGCCTTTTTCGACAGATCTCTTATGCCTCCTGCAAGGAGGTTGACAGGATCTGTTGAAAAATGCTTTCTTTCTCAACAGATCCCGCTCTAGACTGCCGCTTTTTGCCGACAAAGCGCGGAGTCAGCAAAACACGGCAGCCATTTTTATGCAAATTAGGCACAGGATATTTAAATCCCTGCCTCATTTGCAATGTCAACCTGCCTAATCTGCATCCCTCTGCCGATAGAGGGATGCAGTCTAGACATACATATACTGTGTGGCAAACGAGGAAGCATTTATCTGTGGGCTTTAATGCACAATACTTCCAGGTGAGAAATGTATTCGTTGTAATTAACTTTTCAGAAAGGAAATGGAATTGCTTTTATTACGGCAAGTCTTCATCATCATCAACTTCTTGAGAGAAGCACTTTGGGCTCTGTCACTGCGTAAGTACTGGTTTCTCTTTGCCTGAGGATGTTAGGTATGATCTTTTCAATAAAGCATTGAGTTTGCAAAATTAAAATTGATTGGTGGTAAAGAAAGTTCAGTAAGAATTGTAGTTTCCTCTAACCAAGAATAAGAGCTTTGTTGTGCATTACATTTGCAATAACTGGTTTATAATATGGTATGAAAGAGGCCTATGTTTTTCATGCTAACTTCTGCTGTGGTGAAGTAATATATTAGGCACTAAACTTTATTACACTTATATCTGAGACTTTTCAATGGAGCTGGAAGAGGTACGACATTTTCTGTATTTTTTTTTTAATTCAGTTTACTTAATCTAGGTGTGGACAATACAATGGCAGTGATTCACCAAGGTTAGCCCCTGGCATGCTGCCGCCACTGTACAGTAAAACTCCAATAGTCCGGCATCCAATAGTCCGGCACTCCTGATAGTCCGGCATCAAAATGGCAAGAGCCTAGTGAGTGAGCTTCGGCAAAAAATGAGTCACAAGGTAACAGCGGCAGCAGCTGAACTGAGCAAAAAGGGTAAAAAAGGCTTAAAAAAACTAAAACATTACAGTATACTGTATATAGTATGTACAATAAAAAGGGTTAAGAACACTTTATATACAGTATATAATGTATACAGTGTATATATATATATAACCATCTTATAAGTACCTCCTGATAGTCCAGCATATCTGATAATCCAGCATCACCTAGGTCCCATAGGTTCCGGATTATCGGAATTCTACTGTATTTACCTATGTCTCTGCATGCACCAGTGATTTCAGGTCTTGTGGGCTGTGGATCATTGTCCCTTGCCAGCGGGAGCAGCGTGAAGTGACATGGACTGGGACACTGCTTTTCACAGCTCCCAATGGCTGGGAACAGGAGTTATGATCACTGGTACCTGTGGAGACGCAGGTCAGTATATTGGTGGGGACCACCAGAGGCTAAGACTGGGGAACAGGATCCAGATCACAGACTGGTATTTGCCCACCTCTGATTTAATCACTTTCTTCAGATAGGTGACAGACCCACAGGAAAGAGGGACATTTTTAAAAATGTGAAAATGTCATTGTAAATCCATAAAAATGACAGGGTGATTTAATTTATAATCTGAAACTACTTTTAAATCTTATTGGAAAAACATATTAGATTTCTAGCTCTTTAAATGGGTATATATAACATTGCATTTTAATGCAGTTTATTAAAGTGTGAACTTTGCCTCACTCATGGTAAAATATTTAAAATAATGGTTACAATGAGTACTGTGTCAACCAGCTTCCTTGAACAGCTCGGCTGTGTCTAGACTGGCCAGTTTTTCTGGAAAATCAGCCAGTTTTTCGGAAAAACTTGCCAGCTATCTACACTGGCCACTTGAATTTCCGCAAAAGCACTGACGATCTCATGTAAGCTTGTCAGTGTTTTTGCGGAAATACTATGCTGCTCCCATTTGGGCAAAAGTCCTTTTATGCAAAACTTTTGCGCAAAAGGGCCAGTGTAGACAGCCCAGATTTGTTTTCCGCAAAAAAGCCCTGATCGCGAAAATGGCGATTGGGGCTATTTTTGTGGAAAAGCATGTCTAGATTGGCACGGACGCTTTTCCACAAAGAGTGCTTTTGCGGAAAAGCATCCGTGCCAATCTAGACGTTCTGTTCCGAAAATGCTTTTAACAGAAAACTTTTCCGTTAAAAGCATTTCCGGAAAACCATGCCAGTCTAGATGTAGCCCTCTTCTTTATTCTTCTTACCTTTTCCTCCTACACTGAAGGAGCATTTTATCTGGCATATATAGTCCTTTCTTTCTCCCTTTCTTCCTCTTTGAGATGCTTTTCATGCACAGAATATCTAATGACTTTCACTGCACTGGGACAGTTGTTTATATGGGTAAAAATTTCCAATATGTTTAAGTGACTTAATTTGCTAAGCACAAGTTACTTAGGAGCATGTCTCATTGACCTTCAATGGGACTTAGATTCCAATGTCACTTAGGTGCTTCTGAAAAATTTTACTCCACACCAGTGATTCAATACTTTTCTCCTTCCACTGCGATTCAGGCATAGGCAGAATATTTCCTTGCCTGCTGGTAGAGAAAAACAGGGGTCCAGATGCATGTTAGGTATTGAGTTAGTTTGTCCATATAAAAGGCAAGCATGTCAATCTATTAAAAAGTTTCAGAGGAGTAGCCACATTAGTCTGTAATTGGAAAAACTTTAAAAAACAATAAATAGTCTTGCAGCACCTTAGAGACTAACAAAAAATGTAGATGGTATTATGAGCTTTCGTGGGCACAACCCACTTCACCTGAAGAAGTGGGTTGTGGCCATGAAAACTCATGATACTATCTGCATTTTTTGTTAGTCTCTAAGGTGCTGCCAGACTATGGCTATCTCTAGATTACATTCCTCTTTCGAAAGAGGAATATAAATTAGGCAAATTGATAGTGCAAATGAAGCACGGATGTAAATATCCCACGCTTCATTTGCATATTCGCGTCCGAGCGCTTTTTTGAAAAAGGGTTTTTCAAAAGTGAAAGCGCAGTCTAGACACAGTTCTTTCGGAAAAAAAACCCTGCTTTTTTGAAAGAACCTGTACTCGCAGAGATTCTTTCAAAAATGGGGTTTTTTTCGAAAGAACTGTGTCTAAGCTGCGCATTCACTTTTGAAAAACTCTTTTTTGAAAAAGCGTTCAGATGCAAATATGCAAATGAAGCACAGGATATTTAAATCCATGCTTCGTTTGCACTATCAATTTGCCTAATTTACATTTCTCGTTCGAAAGAGGAATGTAGTCTAGATGTGCCCTATATGTCAATCTATTGACGTTTTTACATGTATACACTTTAGGTATATTTGATAGTAAATTTAGTTACCTGCTTTGACTAATCTTTACAGCACATGAATAAACCTTATAATTAGAATGGTAAACTATAGTGACATTTAAATAGGAAAATAGGACACCTTAACTGCTAATTACATTTGTCCTTTTCCAGTTCTTTAAAAAATACCTCCTCTGCTAAAACTACTCAGCATTTCTTTCCATACTAAATTGTTTTCCCCCAAACCATTCTCTTGATTTTATTTAAGACCATATGTCCTGCCTCCACATAAACCTATACTGGATGATGTTGACCCAGAATATGGACTACATGGCTACCAATTACATGTAGATATGCATAGCGGAGGACATACTTACATGTGTGGTACATTTCGAAATGTGTTCTGCAGAAAAGGTAAGAGTTAATAGAACTTAGATGTTCTTTTTAAAATTTGTTCCTTGTTTTATTTTCCCCATCTGTATCCAACTTCTTACTTTTTCAATGGAGAAAACAATTGTTTTTTAGTAATAAATTAGTTTTTGTCCTTGCACTTTTGTTGTGGAATTCTGTTGATGGCTACTGTTGGCACTTCGAGAATCTAGATATTGTAATGTCTGATTTTTTTTTTTTAATTGCAAGTTTCTGGATTAAAAATAAAACTGTTATTTAGTTTTCAAGGCTTGAATTAGGGTAAAATGTCTTGGCAACAGAGAAAACATTTTCAAAGAGAGTTAATTTTATAATATAGTAAACAAATTTAATAACAGACTTGATTTTAATGGGTTTTTTTCAATTTACTGTTCTTCTGCAGTTCCTTAAGTTTGCTATTAACAAAGCGTTACTATTCAGAAACAATACCACTTAAGCATACTGTGATTGAGACAAAGTGTAATTGTTTGGTCTACTTCCCTAGACTGAGATAAACTGTAAGGGCAATCAATACAAAGTTGTGAGAAATTGTACAAGTGTTTGTAAATAATTAAAATAGTATTTGTTTACTTTATTTCTTTAGGCTTAACAATAAAGCATGCCCAGTAAGGCGCTCTGAGAGCACATCTACCCTGCATGGAAGATCGACGCTGCTGCCGTCGATCTTCTGAGGTTCAGTTTTAGCTGGTGTAGTAAAGACCTACAAGATCAAACTCAAAGGGTGCCCCCCATCAGTGCCAGTACTCCTGCTCCTCATGAGGAGTAAGGGAAGTTGATGGGAACATTTGTGTGAATGACGTGGAGACGCAGTGTAAGATATATCAATTCCAGCTATATAATTTATGTTGCTGAAGTTGCGTCTCTTACTTCAGCCTTCTCCTTTAGTGTAGATCAGGCCTCGGTGTCCTAATAATAATAACCAGAGCTCACCGAACTGCGGTGAGCCCTGCTCGCCAGCCGCACTGTCCGGCGATCTGCGCATGCGCAGGTTGTTCTGTGCATGCACAGATCGCCCGAACCCGGCTCTTCCGGGTTACAATCTACTCGCCCGTGGCGAGTAGATGTATTATTTGTCGAGCCCTGATAATAACCATGCAGCAGTATTAAATAATATCATACAAATAAATGCTGTCAGCTGTCAGCATTAAATAATTAAATTCAGATAACAATTTGCCTAGCCAACAAATAAAATACCCCCCTTCCCCGCATGCCTCTCAAATTACGAAATGAAAAAATATGCATTTGTCTTTATGTGGGATGCAGGAAATAAGGAAACTTTTTTTTAAACTTGAAAAATGTATTTTTTTGTAGAGGGGGAAATATGTATCATATAAACAGTGTTTTTGAAAGAAGGAGGCAATTGTTATTGCTTCATATTATTTTTCCAATAAGTTGCTAATGTTGATACTTCTGTTCACTGTGGTAAATGCACTTTTGTTTGTGGTGAAGACAGTAGAGTGCACTGTTAGCTTCTGACTTAAAGTTTATGTAGTGTGTGACCAGGTCAGACTAGAGGACTACAATAGAGAGAGAAAGGCAGCTCTAAAAGGCAGCAACAGCCCTGACTAATCAGGAGCAGAGATGATAGGGCTGCTGTAAATCAATCAGGGCCAGCTGATCTCACTTGAAGGGGCAGCAGAGCCTTTTAAAAAGAAGCCTTCCCTGGAGGGATGAAGAGGAGAGTGGGAGAGGCAATGGAGTGTGAGAAGACCAGAGCAGGTAGGGAGAGAACCAGACAAACTTAGAAAGGTAAAGGCAGCATTGCCAGAGACAGCAAGTGGTGTAGTGCCAAGGAGAAGTTTTGGGCTATCTTTCCCCTAGCAGCCTGAGAACCCAGCTGAGAACTGGTGAGGACTGTTTATGCAGCCCAGGCTGACCTGGGGGCACCTGCCTCGATACTCTCTTCAGCTCAAACCCTGCCAAAGCAGACTGAGGACTGAGCAGGGTCTGGGACCCAGGAGTGGGGTTACTCTGCCACAGTAGGTCTGAGAGCATAGCTATGAAAGTTATGAAATCTTAATTCAGAATGTATATTTGGTAACCCTGAGTTCTAATCCCTATTTATGCAGTTGATTACAGGGTAAAAAATCATTTTTTTCCCCATGGTTGTCTTGTTTTCTTTGAATTTGGTTACTGTTTACTTGTGGGTTTTGCATGTTCTGTGCCATATGCTTTTTTACTTGGCCAGGACTCTTCAGCAATGCCCTTTACTAATTCAGGTGATATGTGTTTTGGTTTCATATTTTGTTTTTATAACTCAAGAGTCTTATCAGGGTGATGCCTTGTGTTTTAGACTCTTTCCAATATATTTTTTTAAATTAATCAAGTTTGTGTGTAAATAATTTTAAAGCCAGCTATTTGAAACACACTTATGCGTAAAATTGAGGATTGGTTTGCAAATTAAACTGACTGAAGCTAGTAGCAACAACTAATCTTGCCAATGTGATATAAAGTACTAAAGAGAGCATCTCTATCCTAAGATCACACTTAGTTGTGTTTTGCAGCAGCAAGTAATCAAATAATGATTTATTTTACACTGAAAGCTGTTCTGGCTTGGTTGACTAATTAAACCATCATTTTTGTGTCTAGCAAAGCAGTTTCCCTTGAACAGTCCATATGTAGCTGAGAAGCTCCAGCCTAGTCTTTCACTTCTCTAGTCATTCTAGACTGAGTGATCTTGCATTAGCAGACATAATCAAAATTTCAACCTCAGATATTCTGATCAGCACAATTGCCACCCAACCGTCTTTCTCCTAGAGTCACTTGTATGGGCTATCATCAACCATCCCTTTAACTGCCCGTTCAGCTCTGTTGGTCTGCTGAACTCACCCATCATTCAGTTCCCAACAAGTGCGCTTTGCATTGCTCCCTTTTAGCTCCCCAACTGTCTTGCCCAGATGTTGTGCTAATATCCTTCAGTTAGTTGCTGCAGCCATTACCTCCTGCTTTCCTTATCTGGAAGGCAACCTGACGCTTGTGTGCACAGCACCTCTGCTTGTCTTGAGCTACTGGGCAATAAGAATTTTTCCAGTCTGACTATATATTGAGGTTTGCCACTCAAACCCACTCATTCTTCACCTAAAGCAAATGGAAGTAGTGCCTGGGCAACTGTGGTGGGGTTGGGTACCAATTACTTGGTTCATTTGGGAGGAGGAGGAAGGTATAGGACAAAGGAGCAAAAATACCGCTTTTGAGGAGTGGAGGTTGTATGGGCAACAAAGTGAATGAGGAGCCCCTGCATTTCCCATGGGAAGGGAATGAGAAGCAAATCATGAATTACTTCTCATTCCCTTCCCATGGGAAATGCAGAGGAGAGACAAGGAAGTAATAAGTGGGGTGGTCCAAGGATTTTCTACACAGCCAAGAGGAGATGGGGAAGTAGTTTTGAAAAGAATGGGGAGGAAAATGCATAATTGTTTAGATTTGGACAGATGGAATCCATTTTGAGGGAAAAGATTTCGGCTACGTCTACACTGCAGGCTTTTTGTGCAAGACCTGTTTTGCGCAAAAGGTCTTGTGCAAGAGCGAGTTCACAATGCCATGTGCTTTTGAGCAAGAGCATCCATGGCAGTGTGGAGTCTCTCTTAAGCAAGAAAGCTCTGATGGCCATTTTAGCCAGAGGGGTTTCTTGCGCAAGAAACCCCTGTTGCACGGCCATGCTGCCTTCTTGCGAAAGAGCTCTTGCACAAGAGGGCTTATTCTTCATGGGGCAAGGAATAACTCTTGTGCAAGAAGCCCTTTGTTCTGACACCTTACTGTAAATTTACTTGCAGAATAACGCACATGCAGTGTAGACACTCCGCAAATTTTTGCTCAAGAATAGCCGTTCTTGTGCAAAAAGCCTGCAGTGTAGACGTAGCCTTCATGTATTGGTAATGAAAGTATATCTGGATTAGTAGGTGAGCCTTTTGTGGTCAATGACTGCAGCATCAGCTCAGGGTTACTAGCCTGGCTGCACACCTCTTACATTCTAGCAGTTCTATACATCTGAGTGTGCATCTTGGGATCAACCTAATGGGAATGGGTCTGGATGATTAATGAATTGATTTATTCATTTTTTAAATGCATAAATTCTCAGCGCATCAAATTATTCTATTGGGACTAATGAAAAGGGCAGAGAAATGGACAGAGTTTTACAGAGTCCTGTAAATTGAGAGAGTTGCTGATTCCTTGGAATTTAATGTAGTTTCTATAGCCATAACTTCCCCCAGAAGGCAAGGGTAAAAGTGTGATATGCAAGAAGACATGCAGACTCCCATATTAAGGTATTTGGTTTATTTTTTCTTCAATTTTTGGATTCACTGTTCCAGATGATGAGTGAAGTACAGGTTGAACCTCTCTAGTACGGCACTCTTGGGACCTGACTGGTGCCATACCAGGGAATTTGCTGAACTACAGGAGGTCAGTATTGTCGTAACAGCATTACCAACACTTCCACTGGGCTCTTAGAAGACATTTAGGGGTAAATTAGAACTAAATGACAGCACAGAACACTGAGAGCCAAGATTGGTGACTGTAAATAAACTATGGGACCATAGTAAACTTGGCCACACCCATGATAAGTTGATATCTGGCTAACTAAAATTATGCTGGACAATAGATGTTGCCAGACCAGAGAGTACGAGACTAGTGAGGTTCAACTTGTATTCCTTATGAAGTTTTCTAGTGCAGAGATGCCTTACCACCTTGAGAATGATGTAAAGCTTTTTTTTTTTTCATGTGTGCATGCACACTTGAGTGTTTAAAGGTTGAGATCTTCTTTGATCAGTTCTTGCTTGGAGTAAGTATTTTTAAGAGGAAATATATTACTTACAGAATAGCTTCAGGTGGCCCATAAAGGATGTGGGGATTCTTTTTATTAATGTCCTGTAATAACTATGGCATCCTACATATTTCTTCCTAATTGGTGGCATTATTCTGTCAGTTGCTTTATTATTTCCTTTAAAATGTGATTGATTTTGAGTGGGTCATGAGAATAGAAATATCCATTACATTATAGAACTGACCTGTGGAAAAGTGAATATCATTCCTTTGGGAAAAATGCTTATTAACTAGTTTTGTCTTTTTTTGCTTGCAAAAGTTAGCTTAATATGGAAACTCTTAATGCAATTCTGTGCTAAAAGCAGTTATTTACCCTGATCTAAACTCTGTTGTATTGGATTTATATTGCCTAGGTTTGGAATCTGGTTTCTTCAAATATCCATTAGCCGTTCAGATCTAGAGAAATTAATTAAAATCCTTAGATAAGTTACCTTCAGTTTGGCTGAATATATTATTTTTTTTAAAAGCAGCAACATTTTTCACCATACATTAAAACTTTTTATAGTATAACACATGATAATAAGGATTACCAAAATACATAGACCAAAGTTTTCAAAAGGTTTCTAAAGGTAAGCAACTAATTTTGTATTATTGACCTCGCTTTAGGCACTAATGTTTGAAAAAGGTTGGCCATCTTACATAAGGAACTGTCATTTTGCTTTGTTCTGTAGTAGAAGTGGAGTTTGCTAAAAATTGTATGCAATAATACTTTTAATTACTGTTTTCAATGAAGGATCACAAAGCATTTTACAACATTTGTAGATGGAAGGAGAGAAAGTCACCTGTGTCTCTCACTGATCTATTTCTGTATACCATCTGCTTTTCACTGAGGATTTCATAAAGGTTTAGATGTGAGCTAATACAAATGTCCATTTTGGTGGTTTGCCAGCCAGTCATGCAGTACAGTACAGGCAGTCCCCGGGTTACGTACAAGATAGGGACTGTAGGTTTGTTCTTAAGTTGAATTTGTATGTAAGTCGGAACTGGTACATATTGTAGGGGAAACTCTAGCCAGACATTTTTTTTAGTTTTGGATAGCATAGGGAAAGGTTAACTCCCCTCTAATGTTTGTTTTGCTGTCTGTTCCCCTGTTCAGAAGATTTCACATCTATTTCTGTCCCTGAGACAAACTCAGGACTAAAGGAGTAACTCATCAAATACCAAATAGCTCTGCACCATGCTTTGAGCTAATAGCTTTATTTCCACACACCACCCAGGGTTCTAGGAGGAGGGTCCTTTTTTTGCTAACACATTGAGGCCAGCACTTTGTTTGTTTTGGTGGAGTCTTTGTTTGCCCAGGGAGCCCAGCATGTATAGGGGGAGGAGGGGCGGAGAGGCTGCTTTTGTCTGCTGTTCTGCAGCCTGTTGCTCAGGGGAGGGGGCAGCCTGTTGCTGGCAGCGGGCGTGGGGAGGCACTTTTCCTCTGCCCGGCAGCTCTGCGGGACCCCAGTCGGAGCCGGCCCGAGGAGGAGGAGGATCCTAGGACCCAGGTGAGCGAGCCCCGGGAATGCTGCTGCGCATGTGCGGGAGTTGCCTCACCCCGTTCGTATCTAGGGATCCGATGTAAGTCGGATCCACGTAAGTCGGGGACTGCCTGTATATCCGTTTGTTTTCAGTTTTGCTGCTCTCTCCACCTTCCATATCCCAACAAAGTTGAAAACAAATACTATAACATACACTTTCCCATCTGTGACGTCTGTAGTTGACACTGTTCTATGTACTACAGCCATTTGGAACTGGACTATGACATCGAGGGTAGAAGTCAGGGATTCTGGAACAATTTGTATAGTGGGGGTGCTGAGAGCCATTGAAACAAATGGTAAACCCTGTATATAATGGAAATTACTTCAAGTCGGGGTGTGGCAGCTTCTCCAGCACTCCTATGATAGAAGTAAAATAATTTTGCTCCTAAACCAAAAGCATGCTGCTACCGCTTGAGCTCATACAGCATCTCTGTTATCCTCAGCAAAGGACCTATGCCGAAGTCAAGCAGTACTTTCTGTATCCAGAAGAACAGTGGTACATAAGCGTGCTAGCCATTTCATTATTTTATGGTTGAATTCTGCTGCCACACCCAAACTATAGTGGGATTTTCCTTGCACTTCTGGACCTACTCTCTCTATATAGTTCCACAATTTGTTAAACAATTGTAATACTGTGGGTTCGATTTCGGCATGGGTTTCATTGTCTTCTGTTGGTGTAAACTTAGGTACCAGGTAAAAGTACCAGCATGGAGGAGTTGCAGCCCAGAAAACATATGACCATCATTGCCTTCATTTGTGTGTGTTTGCAGGGGAATAGAAGTATGTTTGTGGGTTTTGCAGGTAGCTTCTGAAACCCCAAAAAGTGTGCAGCTAGGTTTGTAGAAATGATATAGCTAGGGTGGCTGCACAGACTCAGCATTTCCCTGTTGTGTTTGTAAAGTTGGTGTTCTGTGGAGATACTAAAGAAATTTAAAGCTGTTTTCATTTTCCCTTCACTAGCTGCAACCTTCATGGAGACAGCCAGTCCTATAAACACCTTCCCTCCCCTCAGGGCTAGATTAAGGAATGAGCAAACCAGGCAGCTGCCCGGGGCGCCAACCTATGGGGGTGCCTGATGGCAGCTGTAAGGGGCACACAGAGCCTCTTATAGCTGCCATCAGGCGCCACGCACCCAGCTTCCAGATAACGGGCTGCAGCAGCTCGCAGCAGCCACCCTGCAGCGTCCGCCCGGGACAGGGCCACGTTAATCCCCGCAGCGTCGGCCAATAGTGTGGCCCCGGGCTGCGTGCCAGTGGTGGTAGCTGGGCACGTGCGTTCTGCTGCCACCAGCTCCGCGCGCCCTCCCCAATGCACCGGGCGGGGGTGGGGCCGCGCAAGTGCTCTCCCCCAACGTGGGGTGCAATTAAACTGTCTGCCCGGGGTGCTGGAATGGCACGGTCCGGCCCTGCCTCCTAGTAAAGCCCGGCTCATGTAGGGAGGATAATTTACATTACCTTTTGTGCCAGCAAGAGTGACTCCACATCTTTATTTGTAAGTAGTTAAGATAATCTATGGAGTGCTAGACCTGATGTTTCCTTTTCCTGCGTCAGTATGGTGAAAAATACCAATGACTGTCCCTCCTTCCTATTGCTCACAATGATTTATCAGCTTTATTTTTTCTTCGAGATCTAGTTTTATGGTGTATATCCAATGAAGAATTTTACTTATCTTGTGAACCGTTTGTTTGTCCTTGTCATATATCTATGGGTTATTAAGTAAAAAACCAAAATATAATGAGGCCTCAGAATTTGCCATTTGATTTTTTTCCATGTACATTAAAAAGGCAACTCTTTCCACTTGGAAAAACCTCACTGGAATTCTTTTCCATTTGGTTAGCAAAAAGAAGTACTAAGTCTAATATGAAGGTTTATACAGGTTGCACCTCTCTTCACTAGGACTCTCTGGTCTGGCAACATCTCTGGTCCAGCAGAGACCATGGATGTTTTTGGACCACAAAGCCTAGGAACAGGTCTGACAGTGGGGCAGGTCTGGCAGTGGGGCAAGAGTGCGTTGGGGCGACTATCGACTCAGCCGGGAGCCCAGTGTCAGGAGGGGGCAGAGGCAGCATGTCGAGGACTTCTGGCTTTGTCTGCCAGGAAGGCCCAGCCCAGCCTAGTGCCAGCCATGGAGCTCTGGTCCCAGCCTCCTAGCCCTGATTATGGAGCTCTGGTCCTGGCTATGGAGCCAAGTGCCTGTGGACCTTCAACCATGGCTCCAGCAGCAGCGGGGCTGGTGGCAGCTAGTGAGCCCCATGGGCTGAGACAGGACTGGGACCAGCCTAGAGCCCTAGCCTGATGGCAGCGAGGCAGCATGGGCCATGAGGAGAGGGACCTCACCTTGTCTGGCAAATCCTCTCATTTGGGATCAGTTAGGTCCTGAGTAGGGATGTAATAGTGTAGTCAAGTAACCAATTAACCAATAAGCAAAAGCTTATAGGTTAATGCTATAGACTACAGTACATTTTTTCTGTACATTTTTTTTTCTACAGTACATTTTTTAGCAGGCTGGCCAGCAGCCTAGCTCAGTCCTGGCTCACGCCAGGTCTGGGACCTACCCCTGCTGCAGCTCTGCATTTAATGTGTAATAGGAGCCAGGCTCAGTTCTGGCTCGTGCCAGATCTGAGAGCTCAGCCCTGCCTCTGGACAGCCAGCTGGTCTGTGAGAGGAGCTGTTTTTTAAACTGGGTCGCCTCACAGACCAGCTCTTGCGCTGTACCCCACGCTGCTGCTTCTGATGAGGCAGCAGTGCAGAATGGCAGGGGGCTTTTACGGAGTGGGGCCATAGCACGCTGGCTGCCAGTCCCACCCCTATGGCCTGTAGAATAGTCAAGTAACTGATATGAATCCACGAGGTTATTAGACTACTCAATTGACTGATATTTAACATCCCTAGTCCTGAGGGTGCCGGATCAGGGAGGTCCAAACTGTATTTAATTGTAAGTAATCAAAAACAATGTGTTTTAGTAGTTGTACTAACCAATGAAAATGAATCTTTCTTTAGGAAAATAACAGGACCAACAAGAAACATAAATCATTTAAATCAAGGTTTTCTACTTGCCGATATAAATGCCCCAGCATCAATATTTGTTCAGTGTGATGCCTTGCATTAGATAGAGTGATAATGAAGTATCACTTATTTTCTCCTGTGATGTTAAATCTGATGGTTTTTGTTGAAGGAATTGCAACGTTTAATTTGGGACTCTTCATTTGCATATTTTTTACTGTCCTTGGTTGGCCTCAAATTTCTGTATTTGAAAATCCCAACTCTACCTCCTCCTTTGTCACCTCAAAAAATAAATGAAACCTTTCCTTCTTTGAGACATGCTGGTTTGAATTCTTTTTACACATAGTTGGGTATAAAGAGGTGTTGGCTTTTGAGAAAAGTATTCTGTTAATGGTCAGGAGACAAATAGAGGGCTTAGAGAAAGGAAATGTAGAGGTAAGACTATTTCCTGAGTAGTTGACCTCGTTTGATTTGGTATACTGTAACTATGCATCTATTGTTAATCATTTCAGATTACATTCGAAATGGATTCTTAAGGCTTACAGTTATAAGTTTAAAAAATAATTCACAGCATTTACCTCTTGCTGGGAAAGTTGGCTTCTTCTGGAGAACTGATGTGTTTGAAGGCAATGTACAGGTAAATCAGTAATATTTTGTTTCTGGAAGTAGTTATTTCACAGAAAGAGTGGTATATGCGTGCTCAATATGTTACACGGTTGTTTTGGTTTTGAGTTGTTATAAAAAAAACTCCCAAAATCCAGATGCTATGGAGGTTATGAAGTGAATGCTGTTCTTGAGAAATGTCTTGAGAAATGTCTGCCTAGGATTCTCTTGTGCTAAATTCCTGAAAGAGGGCTGTCCAAAAATTACAAACGTGCTTTTTTTTAATAAGGAGATTGAAGTAACATGGTACAACACAGCAGCAGAGTTTAAAAATACATTTTTTACATACTTCCGTAGAGTAGTTCAGAAACCTTTAAATGAGCACACATCTGAAGTAATCCATGCACATATTTTTAGTCAGTCCTAAAAATGAATAAATGATAAATGAATAAATGATAAAGAGTTCATGCTTGAATTTGACATTTTGATATTATTTTGACAGAGCTAAATGGCATTTTAATTATATTTCTGAGTTGCACAGGCTGAGCAAAAATAAGTATGATGAGTGAGTTAATATTTGGTTTGTATTTTTAAACTAACTTCACTGTGCTTTACAGGGTTAATCAGTTGTCCTGTGTAATCGCAAGTGTAAAATTCAGCTTAATTTTTAGTGGTTTACGACAGCTGCTGTTGGTAGTATCTACTACAGTTAAGATTGTTACAACTGAAGACTGGGGACTCAGTGGAAGTTATAATTCATTCTCGATTCTTTTTTTTTAACTGATATTTCCTATGCTCGGTCGTCTTCATTTATACAAGCACCCACTTTCTTTTTTGTCCTTATATATAACCATACTTCTGTAAATTCCACTCTAATTCATCTGATGAAGTGAAAACTCATGCCCTAATAAATGTTAGTCTCTAAGGTGCCACAGGACTCCTCAGTGTTTATTGCTAAAATCCAAGGCTTTATTATCCAGTCTACTCTGTACTATAGATTATTTGATATGTAGAGAGAGAATATTATAAGGCATACACATAAGGGACACAGTTAAGATTGACTTTACAACCATAGATCTACATTTTATGTCTCATGGATGCTTTATTTTTCTACCTTAACATTTCATTAACCCTTGGATTGTTTTATGGGATATTTGTGGGATATCATATTTACAGATGAAGTGATGATACTAAGGTTTATATCTTTCAAAAGACATTCAGGATTATGTTATACACAGATGTTTGATTTAAAGAATAAGTAATCTTGATATAAGGTGTTCCTAATGTGTCATCAGTACAACTTTACATCTTAAAACCTGACTAATTTGAAAGTAGTATTAATCTCTTTGCATGTAAGGTATCACTAGAAGGTGCGTCTATACTGCACCATCGGTTGAAATTAGATACTCAATTTGAGCTATGCAAATTGAGTGTCTTATTTTCATGTTATTTTGAAATAGCGCCAAATTTCGAAATAAGCTGTCTACACAGCACTTATTTCGAAATAAAATGCCATTCCGAAATGTCCCTTACTCCTTGTGGAATGAGGTTTACAAGGACATTGGAATAGCGAGCCCATTATGTTTCAAAATAACGGGTACACTCAAAAGATGCGGAATAGCTATTTTGGAATACGTCTGTAATAGTGCTGCAGTTTAGATGTAACCTAAGTGAACCACAAAATCAATAATGAAGGACAGGGATCTTGTCACTAAGAGGGGTTAGAAGACAAGGGCCATGAGAGAGGAAAAAATTGCTGATGCTTCACAAATGATGATATCTTGTATCTGAAACATTACATTGACTTGATTGTCATATGGATAAACAAGAATGAGCCAGATATTTCTCTAATATTTTGAAAAAGTGTTTCAGTTGTTTTGTTTTTTACTTTGTGCATATGGCTGAGAAACATCTGACATCATTAATATGGTCTGACCCATAAAACTGAAAGTGTATAGTACAGGAATAGTTTAACAATTCTGAACTCCTTGCTGATTGGTAGAGACATATCACCTGGTTTGTAATCGTGTACATTGTACAGAGTAACCTTGGCTCATCAGTTAACCTTCACAATTACACGCAGGCTTCCAATATATGTGAGGAGCCTGCTAAAAAACTGGCTTGCAATGCGCACCGGCTTTCAGGGAGCCTCCCCAGCACGTAACCACTTAAAATGTGTAACCATTGAAAATTTAACATCCCTAGTTTGTATGTCTGTTCAGTATTTGTACACCTGAAGAAGCCTTTAATGTACAAGGCTTTAAATAAAACTTGCATTAAAACACCAAGGAATTCTATATGTTGACTGATGCATACTTCGATATTTTTATACATTGTTTTAAAGAATCATTTTCAGTATTTTATTTAATTATATAATTTAAAAGAAAGATTAAAATACCTTATTTGTTCTTCTGGGGATCATAACCCTTTATACCTTCTACCTATTCCTAGAAGTGATAGCAGGAGAACATCTTGCAATATTTTTATTTTAAGGGAGGATCTCTGTTCTGTGCATATGTTTTTCTATAGGTATGGAGCGCTTTTGAGCCCATTTTGGGATATTGCCTGGTCCATGGAAATCCTGGGTCTAAGTTTGCTTATAATGGAGGGGATATTACTATTTAATAGCAAACCGATCGTTATTATATATAGATATCATTGTAAATATTCTAAAAAAATGTTTAAAACATTGCTTATTGTATTGGCTGGTATCACAGTGTGGTTGGTGAGAGGTTACCATTGGCATGCATAGGCTACAATCCTGTTGATTGGAAATGTTTTCAGTTAAACAGATTGGCTGTGTCTAGACTGGCCAGTTTTTCTGGAAATCAGCCGCTTTTCCGGAAAAACTTGCCAGCTGTCTACACTGGCCACTTGAATTTCCGCAAAAGCACTGACTTCCTACTGTAAGAAATCAGTGCTTCTTGCAGAAATACTATTCTGCTCCCGTTCAGACAAAAGTCCCTTTTGCGCAAAGCTTTTGCGCAAAGGGCCAGTGTAGACAGCTCAGATTTGTTTTCCGCAAAAAAGCCCCGATCGCGAAAATGGTGATCGGGGCTTTTTTGCAGAAAAGCACGTCTAGATTGGCACGGACGCTTTTCCGCAAAAAGTGCTTTTGCAGAAAAGTGTCCGTGCCAATCTAGATGCTCTGTTCCGAAAATGCTTTTAACAGAAAACTTTTCCGTTAAAAGCATTTCCGGAAAATCATGCCAGTCTAGACGCAGCCACTATGTCCTTTTATATTAGACATTGAAGTGCTATGAATTTTACTTTAACTAGCTAGAGCCTCTGTACCAATTTTTTTGGTCTTTACGGCTCCTGGAGGAAAATTCCAGCTAACATCACTGGTAGTCCTTTCTGACAGCAAGGACGATGGGATGAAGGTTTGTAGTAATTGAGATACACGCTGCACATAGGAAATTAATGTTTTTGCTTATGTTTTTAGAATTGTTACATGATGGATGTGACCCTCTTGGACGAAATGGAAAAACCCTTCTGGTGTTTCAGTGCTCCAGTCTACATGAAACTTTCTTCCAAGGCATCCTGCCTTTATGACTATACGGGCCACAACTATGACTTAAATTATGTGGATTCAGAGGGTAAAGTCCATATTGAACTGGTTTGGTTAGAAGAAACCAAGGAGTACTATATAGTTAATCTGGTTCTTTACCTAAGCACTGAAAAAGTTAATAGCTGGTTTGGAACAAAGTACTGATTATAATAATTCAAACAGCTACTTTTCTTGCTGGTAACAAGATGATTTTTTTGGGAGGAGAGGAAGGGATTAAGATTGAAATGAACCCCACAGTACAGGTGCTACAATTTGTTTTGTGCTTTATTTACTGAAAAATATGTGCTGTCACGTCTTTATTTTTATTATAGTTTTCACTTTTGTTATTGAGGAGAAAAGTTTAAACATAAAAAGCCATGACTTTTCTTTCATATGAAGCACCATGATGTGTGCTAGACTCTGTTGTAAGTACTGAGCATGGTAGGGGTAAACCAATCAGAGTTACTCTATAAAATGTCATCTGGAATAATCAGATATGTAATGCTGCTTCTGAAACAGATAATGTTAATAACACTGTTATCTCTCCATATTTATATATTCTACATTATTTCTAAGATCTTAGAATCCACCTTGAAAAACTTAACTCTGTGAAGTCTGAAGTGACAAACAGTGTCAAAGTGGTGTTGATTGAGCCTCTGTGCTATTCTTCTTAGATATACATGAGATGATCTTGATGAGTGACTGAACTTATGCAGAGGAAATATTTTTAATGCTGATTTATCATTTTAAAATTCACTGTGATAGGAACTTCAAGGCTCAGGGATGGGCCAATATGGGGAACAAGGCTTTTGCCAATGGAAACATTTATATTGGCCCTTTTCTTAAAAGTTGACTTAAAACTGCTGCTGGGTCAGAGTTAAAAATGCAGGTGTTTTAATTTTGTTGCATGCGTTGTAGTCAGTGCTTTCAGACATGGACACCTTTAATTAGAAACTGATGTGTTGGTCCCTAAATAAGAGGTCTGATTTTTTTCCCTCAGAGGAGCTGAGTGTCATCAGCTCCATATTGACATAGTTAACATTCAGTTACCTAAGTAGAGATGGTGAGTACCTAACCTATGGTTTTTAGTATCTATCCTTAGGCACTTATTTGAAAATGATATCCTATGTACCTATTCTTTTGTGCTTAATCTTTCAGGCTATGTGATTGTGTCTTTAGAGCTCAGCACCTTACTTGAAATCCATTGGAGTTTTGACTGAGGGAGGTGTGTGACTTGGGCACAATAGTGTATTTTTAATGATGTGGACAAAGTTCATGTATAGTTTTTGCTACAAATAAATATATTTTGTGATGTTTCATAGTGCTTTCTATTGCATATAAAGTTGTCCAACCATAATTACTTATTTGTTGGCTTTTTGACTTGTTTTTAATTGTGGCAAAAGTGATTTGCTTGAATGTGTTTATCTCCTGTCTCTGTTAACGTGAATATGAGTCGGCAATTTTAACAATTGCCAAGTTTAAGTATTTTTCCTTTTTACTACCGATATGGTGATTCTTTGTTTAATTTTTAACCTTGTTCACTATTTTCTTTGAATTCAAAGATACTAAGTAAAGAAAATAGAAAAGGTGGGTTT